AATATATATATATATATATATATATATATATGATTAAACAGAATAATAAATGCAAAATAGTATCCAGTTATTGACGTAAGAGATTCTATTGATTCTATTGAAGTATATTAGATGCAAAGAATTAATTATACGAATGTTCGTATAATTTGCTTTTGTATACTATGTTATTTCTCTATACAAAGTAACAGTATAACTTAACAAAAGTTAAAAAAAGAGCTAAGAAATATAAGTATTATTAACGGAAAAAAAAAAAAGTATAAAGCATTTATATCCCAAATGTAAGTAGATGTTAATATTAGCAATTAATATATTCATTATGTTGTTTTTCTCCTATCAATCCGTACTGCCAGCGTGATAGTGTAATAGCTAAAGTCCTCTAACTTTAGATAGGCTTGAGAGAGGCTCATGTCCAGCAGTGGACAAAAAAAGAATTCTTTAATGATGATGTTAGTTCTAATAACTCAATCTATTGAAGAATAATTAGAAGAAACTACGTTTCAAATATGATACTTTCGAAGCTTAGACAGCCGTGCTTTATTATTGCTGTGCAATAGAGAAACTTGATAACTGTTTTCTCGACATTTCCTCGAGTTCTGCGTGCTTCTTTGGGCTAAATTCTGCTGCTTCTTTAAGTATCTTGCGTAGCAGTTTATTGAAAACTGCTCGGAAACTTGAGAATTTTAAAAAATAAAATATAAATCTAAAACAATTGAAATAATAATAATATAAAAATATACATATTTTGCAATATATGATTGCATTGCCTGACAATTGATATCTAATATTCAGGCATTTCCAATTACATTGATAAATCAAATTTCAATCAATAAATAACACTCACGTCCAGATTTTGTCAACAATCCACTCTACATAGTTCATTGATGCATACAAACGCGGCATGCTTACATTTAACGTACTCGAAAAGAATAACAGTGTCGTTTTATAAGGCATGTAGCCAATCCAAGAAAAGTAACTTAACGATTCGATGAGACATCTCGTCATGTGCATCCATTCGGGTGTAACATCCTTAAAATTGGGTAATATCCAATACTGATAAATATCACGAGTGCGTTGTCTTATTTCTTCGAGACTGTCGCGGCAAAAATTATAACTGAAAAATTATGCGAATGTAAAAATCTTAGACCATCTGACAACATTGTACGCTTATTTCACCAGTATCGCACGTATATATACTTCTCCTCTATCCCGAGGCAATATCCATAACATCTCCACATGTGACAATAAGCTTCTACATCTTCGTCGGTTGCATTATGTATGCCAATTTTTTCCGGATAGAGTATAACTAAGCTAAGGAAGCCGCATTGTGCCAACATCATATCCGCGAGATTCACACTTTTCGGTTTGTATGGGGAATTGTCAATCAAGAGATAGGGACGTTGTAAATATTTTTCAAATGGACAAGCTTCGGCGAAATCGTGCATAAACAATTCGCGATCTGGGCACCACGGCTTCGCGATTTTAGACTCTTTGTCGATTTGCTCATTATCGAGTCCGCACAATTTTTTTCGCATCATTAAATGCATTTTGCGCGCAGACTGCATGTCCTTATAGGCAGATGTTCCTTTAATCCAGGGTTTTCCTTCGTACCAATTAAAGAATCGTTGTATAGTCGAGAGATACCTTCACAAATTATTATATTTATAGTTTCCATTTTTATTATATAAAATAAAACCGAATAGATTGAATATAACGTTACGTTATAACTGGAAGAGAATGCATATGAAATCAAAGATATTTCAATGATAATATTGTGTCACAAAAGGTTAGCGAAAGACATTTATAAATTCTAAGAAATAATAGTAGATAATTTTAATATTAATAGAATCACTCTTATCTTTGTTATGAACCAAAGCACTAAGATTTGATCGCAGAAAGTTAAGCATAAAAGTACCTTTTATACGCTAAATACGGTGTATGAGAGCGTTTTGATAGAATCAATGGTTTTAGAGCCTCGTTGAAAGAATATACGTGCATAACGCCTAGTATTGTGGCAAAGATAATTGCGGCGTAATTTTCTTGTACGAATTTCTGCCCTCTACGGTATTTATCCATATCCAGCCATTCGGGTACTTCTTCCAGTGGTCGGCCACAGTCTCCTTCGTAATAGAACGCTGGAATGAAATCCAGCAAGGAATTCGGTACGTTTGGAAAAAATATAGCGAGATTTTCGTTTATCCACGCGCACTGCTCTCGCACGGTCCAGTTATCGAAATCGTTTGGAAATTGATTTAAATCAAATTTGCTTTTGAACATTTTCACATATTTAGATTCAAGTGTACTTTCCCAATTATCTTTAGGATCTCTATTCATACTTTTGCTGTCAGAAACCATTGTGTTTTAATAAATGAATTTGTTGCGGCACAAGTAATGAATGCAAAAATTCAAATTATGTTCTCCCTCTTATCTCAGAATCACTTTGTTCGAGCCGCTTCCCACTCTTATTTGTGTCTTTAATTATTGAGACGTGGTAGGGATATTTCTTTGTTAAGAATATTTAAATAATCAAGTAGGAAATAGGAATAGTTATTACACATCATAAAACCAGTATTTTTATGAGATACTTGTTGATTTATTATTTATTGTTTGAAACAATTTAACATTAACATTATTTTATACATTTTATTACTTTTGTACATTTTAATACACAATATATTTTAACTTTAAAAATATGTATATTATATAAAAATATAATAAAAGAAATTTGGAAATTGTTTTAAATCAAATTTGCTTTTGAAGATTTTTATGTAGGTCCTGTTGAACAATCCCAATTATCTTTAGAATCTCTATTAATATTTTTGTCAAAAACCATCATGCTTTATAGTTAAATTTTTCGTCGCAAATAAAGGACACGACTGCGGAGATTCGCAGATCAGAGAGATTTTTATGTATTCAAGGTTTAAACTGGCACTCCTCTTCCTCTCCCTGCTTGTTTTATTTAATGTTTAAGAACGTGGAATATTTTCTCTTTAAGGTGTTTTGATGAATAAAAACGACATTTTATATAATCAGAATTTTTATTTTTTTGTTTTAGAATATCTGCGTAATATAAATCTGCAAAATATACAAAAAACTCTTATCCATTTATCTTAAGTAATCAAATCCTAAGTAATCAAATATTCATATCTATATTTATCTTCATATCTAAAACTCAATTATGATTCTATTCTGCAATAGAACAAGAAAAATTACATGTTATAATACATATTTAATACATTATTATTTTATTATTATGTATACAAATCACTTTTTGATTACATTGTGTAAATGTCTTATAATGAAGGAAATGCCTTTTAACTAACGGGAATATTGCTAAAGTTAGTAAAATATAATATTATTGTATAAATAAAAATTTATATTAATACATTTTATTTTTTTTCTTATTATATGTTTTTATTATATAAAATAGAATTAAATAAATTAAATATAATGTTATATTTATTTTCAATTTTCAAAGAATGCATATTGATTAGGGATATTTAAACAGTAATATTGTATCACAAAGAGTTAGCGTATAAAAATCATATATATTACCACGGAATTATAACAATTTTGCTATATTAATACGATTATTCTTATCTATTTTACAAGTCAAAGTGCTGGATACATTATATGATTATCGCAGAGAATTAAATAAAAAACAGAATACTTTTTAAATGCTAAGTGCGGTGTAGACGAGTGTTTTGTCAGAATCATTGGTTTTAGAGCCTTGTTGAAAGAATATACATGCATAATGCCTATTATTTTGGCAAAGATAAGTGCGGCGTAATTTTCTTGTACGAATTTCTGACCTCTGCGGTATTTATCCATATCCAGCCATTCGGGTGCTTCTTCCAGTGGTCGTCCGCAGTCTCCTTGGCAATAAGCTGCAGGAATGAAATTCAGCAAAGAATTCGGTACGTTCGGGAAAAACATGGCGGTATTCTCGTTTATCCACACGCACTGCTCGTGCTACGGTCCTACAGTTGTCGAAATCGTTTGGAAATTGCTTTGGATCAAATTTGCTTTTGAACATTTTCACGTATTACGAGATCCAGTTGAACTATCTTCAGAATCTCTATTCATATTTTTGCCATCGGAAACCATTATGTTTTAAAGACGAATATTTTGTAACGAATAAAGAATACAACTGCGATCATTTTTCATTTGATCATATTCACTTTAGAGCAACGTTCAAGCGCTCTGTTTACCGATTTACGTCATCTGATCATTTAAATGTAGTAAGGATATACTTCTTTTTTAAGAAGTGAGTAGAGATGATATGTTATATAAAATTAGCGTTATTTATTATATATTTATTATTTGAAACAGTCTAGAACTGATATTATTCTGCAACTCATTATTTAAATATATCAATATTCTTTTTTATTTTGTAATATATATTATAAAACATAAAAAAAGAAGGTGAATTAAATTGAAAATATTTATAAACTGACAATGTGTTTTAACTTCAAAAATATGTAAAAAAGTCACTTACTACTAATTAATTTTTTAATGCTTATAAATATTTTTTTTAATTTATAAATATGGATTTTCACTAAGTTTTGTTTTGGCCATGTGTTGTTATTGTCGGAATTACGACATGTTTAATCAAATCCAAATATATCTCTCTTAATATTTCAATAATCAATTTATTGATACCAAACTAAATAGAATATTACAATAATAATATTTATAATAAGATAAAAATTTTTATTGTCTACAATGTTTGTCTAAATTCAATTTTTTAATACTAAACTTTATAAAATAAATAATATTTATTACAGTCAAATAATTATTACAAAGAGATAATTATTACAGTCATTATTATTTGTTTTAGATTTATATCTATTATTATGTTTTACTATGTTTAGACATTTTTATATCTATTATACATTTACATTTATTACTTTGTTATTATTGAAACAAAAATAATATTGCCTCAAGTCGTATAAAAACCTAGAAGAAACTAATGAGATACGATTAAATTTTTTACTCCTTCTTGTGTTTACGAGGAATATTATCTCGAAATCTCAGACAGAGAAAAAATTGATCAATTGAATTAATGAATTGTATTGATGAATGTTTTCTCTGTATTAGAATCGATTTTTAACATTGTGGACATAAAATTTAAGATTTTAATTGATTCATTGCAGT